TCATAACATAGATATTATACTGATTTAATTACATTAATTTTTTCATAATTTTTAGGTATTAATTAATACAAATCCTTAAGAAATTAACATCTGTTTATATAAATGAGAGTTTTGGGACGGCAGTCAAGTGCCCATTTTTCAAACCGATTTCATCAAAATTTTATAAATAAATAAAATGAGTTATTTCATGAATATTTTTCTATAAATTTTGAAGCCCTAAAAGAATTTATATGAAATTTATTCTGAAAATTGAATAAACTATTTAATTATATTAATATCCTAAACCACTACTTTTCTAAACTCTTTTTAAATTCCTTTCTTCCTAAGTCGTCTAACAGAGATGAAATAGAAAAAAAAAAGAGAGAAAATATACGAGAGAGAAAAGAGAACATAAGATTTGAAGGATGTAGAGTAATTTTTATCAATCAATCTTGTTGAAAATTTTGCTCATCCATCTCATTATAGGGAACCATTATCCCATTTATTATTTCAATAATTTGATTTTTTTGAGATTTTTCTGATCAATTTTATATTTTCGTTACAAAAAATAATTATAATTTTGTATTGGTAAAACTTTTACAGCGAAGCTAGCTTTTTATATGTTATAGAATTTTACATTATGAAAGTTTTAAGTATTTATTTGAGATTTTTCACCTATTGACTTTGAAAAATAGTGATTTTTATTAATTTAGTTCAATTAATACTTCAACATAGTTTTATATATGATATCTAATAATTTGGTTAATTTCTAAAAATATGAATTTATGCTCAGTAGGATTTTCAGTTGACTACCGTTAGGATATTTTAACACTTTTTGAATTAAGCTAAATTATATTTTATTTACTGCAATACATTTGAAATTGAATATGAATATGTGATTGAATAATAATTGATTGCTATTATTATTATAGTATTGTGATAATAATATGTGTGTATAAAAGATAAGTAAAGACTGATTGACCCGTTGGTTGAAGATTGATTAATCGTCTATATAGGAAAGTGGGTTGAGAAGCTTTCTTTAAATATTATAATTGGCGTTATCCTCTAATAATACAACAATACAACAATTGGGAGCTATAAGGATTTATTACTATGTTGATAGATAAAGAGTGACGACTCTATTTACTAAGCCAATTAACAATTATCAACTACCAATTATTGATCACTGAAAACATCATGATAGCCAAAACTTTTTGTTTGTTTAGTATGACTACTAAAATGCATTTTACATATTCATTATCACTATACGGCTTTACATATACTATATTGATTTACTGTCACTATACGAATTCACTGTTGTATTATTTTACTACTATGGCCACTGAATTTACTAGTACTGATAAAAACACCGATATTAGTATTGAACTGTTACTGTTACCACTACTGATTCACTATTACTATTATTGTTTTTTATTCACTGTACTAATAAGTACATGATATATTGATGAGTGATTAAGATACAAATTTGATTTTTATATAAAATAATTGGATAATATATGTACATTATTATAGGATTTTACTATATTTAGATGATTTTAATAGCTTTAAGTGATGCTTTGATTCTATCGCTTTAATGATTTATTTACTAATTGATTGTACTGATACAATAACTATTTTATCAATTTGACACCCGCATTGGTTTACTAGTTTCCCTGTTGTACTATTCTACTGGCTTTCATATCATAATATTTTAATATTAGTAGATTCTACTACTGTTGCATGCAAGTTTTACTATTTATGTATTGATTCTTGATCATTTGACTATTACTATTATGAATTGACTAACGACATGCATATTATTTTTTACAGTGTTTTGAATTCAGTTATATGATTTTAGAGACCTGCTTAACTGTTTAGCTCATTTTACGTGATTAAATGATTTCAGGTCAATGAAGAGGTTCAGGAATGTGAGACTGGTTAGAATTTTTCAAGTTTATTATTATCTTGTTTCTTTTTGTCAGTAACTATTTTTTTATACTCATGTCATGATTGATATGTTATTATTGTATAGATCATGAGCAGTGTACATGATTTTTTTGGAAAATGAATATATATGTATGTATATTAAAATTTTGATTAATAGTTTTATTTTCATTGGTATTTAATTGATAAAATAAATTAGATAGCTTTGATTGTGTACATTAAAAGATAAAAGAATAATTATTTCAAATTAGATTCTGGGGTGTGACACCATGACTCTTGAGATGAATGAAGGTATATACGTCTGATTCTATATGGTTCGATTTTATAGCCTAAAATTATAATACAATAAGGGAGGGGACAAACTATAAAAGGGGATAATGTATATTGTACATGGAAGGTTCAACTCATCTAAGCATGATCCCTTGTCAAGTCATATGATATACACATTTATAAGTGGAATATAATAATTATATTAATTCAACAAAAAAGCCAATGTAACCATTTGAAAGAGATATATGTAGAGGTGCTTTTGATCTATTAGTGGTAAGTTTTAAAACATATGAGACAATATCATGTCTTAATAAGTTCTAGATAGATTATGCTTTGATAAAAGTGGGCAATAATGTATCATATTTAATATTCATAATTTGATTAAAAATATAAGGCATTACACTAATTTTGATTGGATCTATGCCAATGAGCTATTAATTTTTAATTGGAAAGTCCTAAATGATTGTAATATTTGGCTAACCTCGAGTCGGATCAACCACCCCTTATTTAGCTCAGCCTGAATCAAGCTATCCCAGTCCTAACTCTCTTGTGAATGCCTTGATCTCGAACTCCCTCCTTTGCATGATTTGCACTAACTACGCCACCACTAGCCAAATTTTTTCACACATCATCTCATTGTCTGCTCCCTCTTCTCCATCAATTTAAAGTTGAACAATGTAAGAGCATCACAGTTCCTTTCAACCTCAAATAAGTAGCTGCAAAATCTCTCTCGTACTCTCACCCACAGGGTTTCTTCCTCATAGTCATTAATAGATAAGCTTTTTTCCTCCATCTTATTCTTCCTTGAATCGAAAGTAAACGACATTGGTTTTTTTTCCTTGCATTTTCCCACCTTTATGTAGTAAACATGAGTAATGAATAGTCTTCATCCTCTCCTTCTTCTTGTACCTTTCTCCTCTAAAGAAATTCAAAACCCTATATTTAGAGCCCACTAGTTTATTCAATAAAAATATTTTAGTTAATCTTTTTTCTTACATTTTTAAATCATTTTTTTACTATTTTGATTAGATAAATTTAGAATTAGGTTTTTGGTAAAAGCTTGATAGTGTATCTTTGATTTGATAATGATGTTGGAGGAGTTGTAGCTTAAGAATTTTAAGGCAAAATTTAATTTTTCAAATAGCTAATCTTACTATGATGTGAGATAACCTATGTTAATTAGGTTGCATCCATTTGATAACTAATAAGTTCTATTTTCATCTTTTGGTGCTTGTAATTAATTAAAAGTCATTCATGTAAGAACTTTGAATTAATTGTCATCCTGCTTGAGTTTGTCAGATCTAAATCAAACTCATAGTTTTCATAAAGCTTGCATAGAGATAAGTAACTTTATAGAAAATCATTGAATTTTATTTATTAGGTTGATTTTATCTTCCTTGTTTCAATGTGTTTTTAATAAAACTAATTATGAATATGTAAGAGAATGATGAATAACTCATAAGCCATATATTGAGAGGTATGATGATACATAGGATGCTTGCATAACATATGGTAGCATACATTTGCATTTATTATATGCACTAACTATAAACATCACCATATTAGAATGTTGTATGACATGTGATATGTTCATTTATATATTGCAGTCTTACAATATTTTTTGATATGATAACATGATTTCAATGATAGCAAAAAGTCAATAGTGCTCATCTTATTATTCATATTGTATACTCCATCATCTCACTATTTATATTTTGAAATATAGTAGCTGATTGATGTGTTTAAATCTCACTCGCTCGTTGTTAATATTTTTCATAGTATGTTCTACCAGAGTGCTTAGTGGATTATTACCGCATGAACATATTTATCAACACTAGGATCTCATTTAGTATTTTAAGCTTTTTGTAGCTCGCAAATTATTTTTTTTCTTTTAGGTTTGGATAGCTTTATTTATGAATCGCTATATCAGAAAGAGTGCCAGTTCAACTTTGTAGTTATCTAACATATGTAAAATCGTGATTGAGTACACTAAGACCTTTATACAGGCTCAGCTCTTTATTATCTTAACTGGGCTTTACTTCATGAGTAATTATTGTGTCCGGAAACCGAATGCGTCCAGAGACCGATAACAACGCGCCACGTCACCTGGAGCTCGATACCGAGCACTCGGTATTGCTCGGTATATGCCCGAATTTCCGATTTTTTGTCCGGATATAATAACTTTTCTTACTTCTTGGGTCATGGCAAAATGAACTACTTTTTTTGTTAATAAATAAAAATGTATGTAATACATTGATATATATATATATTATTGATAATTATATAATACAGTATTTTTTGGTTAAAAAATGAGATTAAACTTTTCTATTAGGTTTCATTCAAAATTCTTTTCTTACTTATTTTTTAAAACAATTTTTTAGTATACTTTTTTTTTTTTGAATTATAAATTTTTTTAAATAAGAACTAGTTTTAAAAAACATTAAAAAAACTGTCCTAAATGAAACTTAAGAAAAAATTAACCGATAAATCTTGAACTTCAAAAAGGATTTAAAAAATGCAATCATACATAGTAGCAAAATTTGAAGGTTAAAAAAAATAATAAAATTTTGAAGGTCATGGTTGTCATAAAAAATAATAATGATTCTCATTGAAATTTATCTTTATTATTTCATTTTAACAAATGAAAATTTTTATTATAAATTAAATCAAAATAATTAATAAAATTAACCAATAATCTTGATTACAAGTTTAAATTATTATTTAATTATAATAATTATTTCCCGAATAAAATATAGCCGTTATCCACTTCCTAAATTCTACAAGAGCCTCACATCCTTAATCTCTAATGGATATCATCAAAACTCCCGCTTTATTCTTTCCTTCGTTTCCTCCTCGTTCTTGCAATGATTTATTGTTTCTCGGGCAATCCGCTAATTCACTTACTTGCGAATTGGAAGAAACTGGAATCCAATTGCTTATACAAATAAAAAGCCCTCCTTAATTTTATCTCTCTTCTTAGAGCTTCTAATGGCGTTGTCTTCCACATACTGTCGCTTTTCTTCTGCCTTCTCGACTTCCTCCATCAAGAACCAAGAGAGATGCCTCTTCACAGCCAGCCAAATCGACTTCAACTTCTGTTCCCATATCTTCGCAGGCTCTAGGCTTCTTCAGATGAAATGCTCCAACGGCCATCTGATCCCTGTGGAAAATAGTGAGTTTTTTTTTTTCAGAAAATAATTCCTTGTTAAGTTGGATTCATCGGGTTTTAGGTTTTGCAGCGCTCATTTTGTTATGTCGAACTTGAATCTAGCTTGTTTTGAGATGGTGTGTGATTACATTAGAATATTTAAAAATTGAATCGTTGTACATGAAGAATTAGGAAAATTGTTCAGTGATAGCTATTGAAGATGAAGTGGTGGAAAATAAAATTATGTAGCTGGATATGTACATCAAATGGTAGAAAATTCATCCATTAGAATTGCTGATAATATTAATGTTGAAGCATTAGAAAGAATATGAATAGACCTAAGGTACCTTGGATATAAGGTGTATTGAAAATTTTCACAGAAAATGTTTACTATCTAGTGCAAAACTAAACACAAATGAATGCAGGAAAAGAATTCATAAAGCAAAGCTCAGAAAGTTCAGATATGGATAACGATGATGTAAAATTAGGGGAAAAATGGAAATTAGGCCATCTCCAACCGCGCTGCATACCACTGTATGTAGTCCGCTATTTGCTGCATTCAAACTTTAAATCTCACTTCAAAATTCGGTAGGTGAACAATGCAATGCCAATATTGTTCGCCTATGCCAAAATTTTGCTTTGCGAATTTGCCGAAGAAGCGCAAAAGAGGAGAGAGATAGTTACCTTCGTAGGAAGCGCGCAAAAGAGGAGAGAAATGGAGTGCAATTGGAGATGGATTACACCATTTTAAAATTTTTCTGTATTTTAGAGTGGAAAATGGGTTTTTCGGTTGGAGATGCCCTTAGAGGTTTAAAGGTCTATGAAGGAAAATATGCTATTTATTGGTTTTTGATTGTTGATGTGCTTTTATAGGATTTACTTATTTTTATAAACTGCCAGAGATCAGCTTCTAAATTAGTTGGCTCATTGTTTAGAACTAGCGCATCCTATGTTTCTTTTCTGCGTATTTTTTTACTGAAAATTTTTAGTGTAGGCTTTGCCGACAGTTCAATAGTGGATAGGTCTGTTACAAATTTTGAAGTTAGCTCGGATCATTTTTCAAGTTCAGAGCAAAATAAAACTACAGTGAGTGTCACTGTTGTTGGAGCCTCTGGTGATCTTGCCAAGAAGAAAATCTTTCCTGCACTTTTTGCACTCTATTATGAGAATTTTCTTCCTGAGGTATCTTCTTGCTGAATGTGAATGATTTTGTTTCTGATCTATCAGTTCTTGTGACATTGAATAATTTGCTTATGCAGCATTTTACTATATTTGGTTATGCCCGTAGTAAGATGTCTGATGAAGAGCTGAGAAACATGATTAGCAAAACACTTACATGCAGAATAGATAAAAGGTTTCTCTTGCCCGACTTGAACTGTTAGATCACTTCTTTTTTTATTATTGAAGAAGCATTGTGTTATTTCATAACAATTCAAAGTTTGCAATGGAAACGGCTCAATCAATTGTTTCCCTAATTTACTTTGCAGGGAAAATTGTGGTGACAAGATGGAAAAGTTTCTCCAGAGGTGTTTCTACCAGTCAGGACAGTATGATTCTGAAGAGAACTTCAAGGAGTTAGATAAGAAACTAAAAGAGAGAGAGGTAAAAATAATCCTTTACTATGTTTGTGAACAATCCGGAATGTTGGTTATTATAATCTCCATCTATCATTCGAAATCTAGAATGTCTTCTTTTTTATTTATAGTTCTTTATCACTCATTCTCATCTTTGATTAAATAACAGTTGCAGTTTTATGAGAAAGTCCTGTAATCAAACCCACTAAAGTAGCAATTAATGTCAATGCTATTGATGTTGGGATGAGAAAAAAGCCTCAATTACCAAAGAAGCTAGGAAACAAACCAACAGAAGTTGAGGTCAATAAAATGAGAGAAATAAAAATGGAGGGCAGGCTTCAGTCCCCCACTCTACTCCCTTGTGATGTATCTAGCCGTGTATAGAGAACTTAGTTTGCAGTTTCTTTTGTAACTATAGCGAGGTTCATTTACATGGTAGTCACACAACCCTTATGTTCACACAATTTACTTACACCATTCTCATACAAATAGTTCTTCAAATAACTAGAATAATATGAAGGATCTTATGCTAGTCATACATGCCATATATCATTCATGAGGGGAAAGACATTTAGGATCCATCATTTAGTCAAACATACTTGATATATCATCAAAAAATTATCTTGATTGGGCACGAATCTCGAGGCAAAATCAAGTTGGAAACATCCGAAATTAAATTCCCATATGAACTCCAATTTCACAAACTTATAGTCGAACTGAACGTCTCGAAAAGAAAAATACAACGACACCAAATTCGACTCAATCTGAGCCCAAATTGGTCCAAATCGAAGACTTAGAAGCATATTTGGAAGGTTTAAACCATAATTTGGATTACTAAACGGTTTCCAAACATGACATGCTTATAGTCGAATCTAGCGGTTCGATCTGACGAATCCAACGAGCCCAAGATCTTCAAATTATGATATCATTAAGATATTCAAATGCCATCAAATGGTCTACAATCAAGGGAATTAACATCGACCGTCCATTCAAATCACTCCCAATTTACTCTTGATCTCACTCATATTTACTGGCCATGGCACTCTTAGAAAGCTATAAATAGACCCTTCATTCTTCATTGAGGGGGGACCAGAGGAGGAAGAGAGGGGACCCAAGCAAGGAAGAATAGGAGAGGAAGAAGAGAAATCTGAGATCTCTCTTGCCACCAAGCTCCTCCTCCACCACCACCCGGACATTTTTCGAATCACCGCTAATCGCCGTACTTCCGTCAGATTTCTGCTCGACGTCGGACTTCCGCCCATTGTCGGACTTCCACCCGGCCACTGACGGACGCCGGACTTTTGCTTGACGCCAGACATTTGCCCGAAGCTAGACTTTCGCCTGCCGTCGGACTTTCACCCGACCACCGAAGGATGTCAAACTTCTGCTTTGCCACTAACTATCGTCGAACTTTTTCCCGGCTATCGACTGTGGTAGGACCTTTTTCGGATCTCTGCCCAGATCACAATAATTGCCAGAACTACGCTCAACCACCAACTGACGCTGGACTTCTGACAGGCCATTAACGCTAGACTTCTATGCAACTTCCAATTATTGTTGGACTTCCACCCGACAATGTCCTTCCGGCCTCTGTCGCCAGACTACGATTTTTTTCTATAACATCTCAAACTCTTAACTATCGAGATATTATCCACTTTGGCCTAAGTGTCTCACGGTTTTGTCCTTTTGGTGTAGCTTCGCAGTAGGTCACCCTTCCCAAAATTACTCTGGGATTAGCACACTTAATTGTGAAGTTTTTTAATGAAATTTCAACCATTACACCAAATGACGCCTCAATGTTTAAGAGTTTAACTTCTTTTACTTAAGGAGTTTTACATTTATAACCTCTGTCGCCTGCTGATTAAGGTCCTTCTGACCTCCGTCGCTCGTTGTCAAAGATTTTTCAGACCTCCGTCATCCGCCGACTACGGTTCTTCCGACCTCCTTCACCGACTACAGTCCTTCCGACCTTCGTCGCTAGACAACGGTCTTTAAGACTCCCGTCGCCTGCCAACAACGGTCTTTCCAACCTCAATCCGTCACCCACCAATTACGGTCCTTCCGATCTCCTTCGCCGACTACGGTCTACGGTCCTTCGACCTCCGTCGCCAGACAACGGTTCTTCTGACATCCGTCGCCAAACAACGGTCTTTCCAACCTCCATCGCCTACCGACCATGTTCCTTCCGACCTCCTTCACTAACTACGGTCCTTCCGACCTCAGTCATCAGACAACAGTCTTTCCGACCTCTGTCGCTCATCGATAATGGTCTTTCCAACCTATGTCACTCGTCGACTATGGTCCTTCCGACCTCCTTCGCAGACTACAGTCGTTCCGACCTTTGTCGCCAAACAACGGTCTTTCCAACCTCCGTCGTCCATCGAATATGGTCCTTCCTATCCACTTCTCCGACTACGGTCCTTCCGACCTCCGTCGCCAAACAACAGTTTTTCTGACCTATATTATCCGACGGCTATGGTCCTACCCATAACTAAATAATGGAAACAAACTTAGGGTTAGGGTTTAAATCAATTGTGGAAGAAGAGGAAGTGGTAGACACATTTTTTTGCTGATTGAGGTGCACTTGGCAATCTGGCCAGCCAATGCAATTTGCTCGAGCATAACTAGACTTTCCACCAGAATTATCTTCTCTCCTCATTTTGGTCAACCGAAATTAGTCAACTAACCTAAATCCAATGAACTTAAGGAATTCACTACTCAATCCATATCACAACCCAACTCGATATGATCCATAGATACATGTCACACCGTGTTGGATGGTGGCATAACAGAGCTAAAATCGAACATACCAAGTTCTTTTATTTGGAGAAATATCATATTTCTTTTCAGATATAGACACCAGAAGTACTAATTTTTCTACTATACATAAATTTAGTGTTCCAAAAAAAAATTCTTTCTATTTATCTACAAAAGTATATATTACAGGTTATTGCTATCATAGTTCTAGACAGCAGAAAAACACAGGGCAGGAAATACAGAAATGTCAGGACAGTTCAAAAATCTAAAACAAAAAATAGACTAAAAAATTAGCTTTATACACTCAATCGGCCCTTCACCCCTACCATGACCTGAAAATGAAATGCAAAATATAGAATGAGCTAACACAACTTAGCAAATTACATTACCAAAATCACTTAATAATTTCCAAACCAATAATTTAAAAATAAAGCAGTTATTCCATTCTTAATAATGTAAAGCCGTGTTAGAATAGCGTAGGATTTTGTAGATAACTAAACATGTTATCAAATTTAAGCTAGAATGTAAATAAACACATAGTGCAGAGTACAAAGTAACAGAACTCCAACCCTTATGTCTTTCATTTAGAACTCCAAAACCAATATGCTTATCATTCGGAACTCCTGGCCCTTACGGCTTTCAGTGCTCTCAGCACTTTCAGAATATCCGCAACAAAACTTCGCCGATATATAACAAAACTCCCATCAAACTCCTCATATATTGATAGATTATCATTCAGAGAAGCACCATATATATTAATTATGCCATATAACAAAACATTTAAGAAATTAAACATAAATTGGACTATTTATAGAATTTCAGATATTTGTCATATGAGCAGTATTTTAACTGTCAAATCCAATACAGTGTAGCTAAAAAAGTTAATGTGGTGAAAGTTTTCTCGTTTAAAATTTTTCTTTGTTCAAACACTGGAAATTTATATTTTTAATCAGGAAAATTCCAAAACCGCCGAATTATTAAAACTTGAGATAGGCAAAATGCAACATAACTTGATTCGAGTAACTTTCAAAATTAGGTCGTCAGCTGAAAATGACTCGAAGTGGCTCAAAATGGACTTTCTCTCTCTAGGATTCTCTCCTTTTATCTCACTAACCGACAGTTCTAGGAGAAATAGATCGAATGAAATAGTGAATTTGGATGTTTTAAATATTAAATTTAGCCTAGCGCTGCAGCCCCACGCTCCCTTAGAGAGCCCACAGCACCACCATGCCACCCCCAGTGCCGCCGCGTTGAATTATTTTGCCAAAACTTAGAGAGTACTCGCATCAAAGTGCTGCCAATCCAAGCGCCATGACAAAACCCCCGCCCCCCCCCGTATTTTTTTTTTTTTTTTGTGAAGACCGTCTAGGTAGTATTTGATCTTCTAGTAACATGAGAATATACTTACCAATTTCGCATCTACTAACATTGAATATCACATGCTTTTTTTTTCTACTAATCTTGAGTTCCTTGTATTCTAAAATGTTTTCATTATTTAAATCAATTTATTTTAATTTTTTCCATAACTCTCCAATCATGAATTAATATCTCATTTAGATCTTAGCTTTTACCTTTATACATTTTCTTCAACTTATTTCAACTTCATTTGGATCAATCTACTGTGTACTCTGTGTTTCATCTATTGATGTCTGATGATCTTCAACTAATATATTTTCTACTTATTAAGTATTTAGTCCATTATACAATCATGAAGAGCTTATCTGCTAATCTCTTAGTTTTTTTCCCCTTCTATTTCTGTTACTATTTTGGTTGTTAAGTATAAAGGGAAAAATGAAAATATTGTTTTTTCAGTCAGTTTAAATTTGTTTCAGGCTGGAAGAGTGCCAAATAGATTATTTTACTTATCAATCCCTCCAAATATATTCGTTGATGTCGTCAGATGCGCTACCTATGGTGCTTCTTCTCCTACTGGATGGACTAGAGTAATAGTTGAGAAGCCCTTTGGACGTGACTCTGAATCTTCCAGAGAGCTTACAGCATCTTTGAAGCAATATTTAACGGAAGATCAAATTTTCAGGTTTTCCATTAGATTTAAGAGGGATTTACATACATCACACTAAAAATTTACCTCTTTGACACTCAATTCCTTCTATTTACTTGCACAGCATCCTAATATTTAAATAGCAACAAAAATATCATCTTTCACTCATATGTTAGCTTACCTGCTACTCCTGAATGGAAGAACCCTCTGTCATACCTACCCATCACCATATCATTCTTGTCTATATGGAAAAAGATCGCCTTCGCCTGTCCCCTTCGTCTGTTGAAGAAGCCTCCATTACCATCTCTCTCAAGAAAGTCTCCAAGCTGTTTCATGGCTTACCTAACGTTAACCTCCTCATCCTCATCAGTCAGGCCTTATTTCTTTCAGAGTAGAGTGATATGACTATGGGCTCTTCTGTTAAGGAGCAGCAGTTAATTTTACAGAGAAGTGAGAGATGGTTTCTGTATTGCTATTTAAAGATTAGGATGCTGTGCATGTAAATAAAAGAAATTAGATATTGGATATGTAAATAGATAAGTTTTTAATGCTATGTATGAAACTTCCTAGATATAAGGCTTCGTTGACTTTCTTAATGCTTCTTAAAGTAGCTTCCATCAGACTCTTTTATCAAAAAGCTGCTTTAAGAAACAGTAAAAAAACCGTCCCAAACGAAGCCTAAATCTTACTCTTTTATCAGAAACCAGCAGTCAGGTTTCATCTTTGTATTTTGATTGTCTTGTGTCAGCTGGTTTATGCAGGATTGATCATTACTTGGGAAAAGAACTTGTAGAGAATCTATCAGTCCTTCGTTTCTCAAATCTCGTGTTTGAACCACTTTGGTCACGACAATACATCAGAAATGTGCAGCTCATATTCTCTGAGGATTTTGGAACAGAGGGTAGAGGCGGGTATGCATATCCTATAACTATTATGTGCACATACTGATTTAGGCTTAGTTTGGGACGGTTTTCTTCTAACTTTCTAAAACACTTTTTTAGTACAAAAATTTTAAATTCATTTAAATTTTGGTACTAGAAAATAGTTTTAAAAAGCATTACAAGAGCTGTCCCAAACGAAACCTTCATCAATCAAAATCCAAACTTCACATGTGATTATTTTGTCAACTTACAGTTACTTTGATAGCTATGGAATAATCCGGGACATAATGCAGAACCATCTTCTTCAGATACTGGCATTGTTTGCCATGGAAACACCAGTCAGCTTAGATGCAGAAGATATTCGTAATGAGAAGGTTCTAAGATTTCAATAATTTCTTACATCGATTCAAAACGAGACCTTCGAGGCCTGATTCCCTTCTTTTATAATTGAATTATTTTCCAATCTTCAGGTGAAAGTGTTGAAATCAATGAGGCCGTTGGAAATAGAAGATGTTATAGTTGGGCAATATAAGGGTCACTCAAAGGGAGGAAAATCTTATCCTTCTTACACTGATGATCCAAAAGTGCCAAATAATAGCCTCACTCCAACTTTTGCTGCAGCAGCATTGTTTATTGATAATGCTAGATGGGATGGTGTGCCATTTCTGATGAAAGCTGGGAAGGCATTGCATTCCAATGGGTAAGATTGCTTATATCATGTTTGTTCATACTAATATGTTGTTTCAACAACATCGATACTGTATGCAGCTGGAGTTGGTGAGCATTTGACCTTTAAAAGATTATCATTTTAAGGTCATTATAAACCAAATTTATCATTCCTGTCAATTGTTTTCAAAATGACCAAATCTAACATATCATTTTGAAAAGAATAGTTTGTTTAAGATATCATGACACAATATGATCATGATGGATTCCTATCCTTAAAAGAGAAGCATAATATTAAGCTAAGTGTTGCTGAGATGAGGATGCTTAGGTGGATGAGTGGCTTTATGTTAGGTCAGTTTCTGAACCGACCCAGTCGGCCTCACATGGGCCGGCCTTACTCTATAGGAGGCTGGTTAAACCGCCTCCCATGTTGCCGCCCAAGCAATAGGATCCCACGACCTATTTAATTGCCGCTATTTGAATTAATCTATTTTTGGTAGGGAGTGGGTGACTAAGGCTATAAATAGGCTTGAGAGGGAAGGATAGGACATGCTTGAATATTGTATTCTCTTGGAGTCTCTTGGGTGACTTGGGCTCTAGACTTGGTGTCTAGAGATTGGGCGAGAACGATCCTCCTCTCGAATAGAGGATCAATTGTATCTTTTATTATGTTTTCTTTCCTTTGAGTATTTAATAAAAATCTACAGTTATTTTGGGTTGTTTCATTATCGTTCTTGTGTCTTTTTGCTGTTTTTACCAATTTCTTGTTAGGGTTGCTTGCGAACTCAAGTACATCTGATATGATTACTTGCAAACTCAAGTATTTCCTATCACTTTACTCTTAGAGATTGAATACGAAACAAACATATACGTGAATAGATTGGAGTGACCCCACATAATGGGATAAAGACTTGATGTTGTTGTTGGTGCTTCATTGTTTTCTTTACTAACGAGCTAACAATATCTTTAACAAGTGACACTGATTTTTCTTTATTGAGTGAGCAGTGAGAGAAACATGCCTTTATTATTATTATTTTTATTTGTTACAATAAGATTAAATATTAAATGATCACGAATTTTTTATTGGACTATTTCAGAGCGGAGATTAGAGTACAGTTCAGGCATGTGCCTGGTAATCTTTACAGAAGAAACTTTGGAACTTATCTAGATAAGAATACTAATGAGCTTGTGATCCGTGTGCAACCAAACGAAGCTATATATCTGAAGATAAACAATAAGGTTCCAGGTCTAGGCATGAGGCTGGACAGAAGTAATCTGAATCTGTTATATTCTGCAAAGTAAAGTGACCCATCTCTCAAAAGCTTATTTCTCTGAAATGCATTAGCTTTATTATTGTACTTTGCTAGAATTTTACACTGATTGTGTTACATTCCTCTCTACATGTTGTATGCCTAAAACATTCATTAAATTAAGGGTTCGTTTGCGACAGCTTTTTTACTGCTTCTTAAAGTAGCTTTTTTAGAAAAAAAAATCATTTTTTACTAAAAAGCTGCTTTAATAAGCAATAAGAAAGCCTTCTCAAACGAAGCCTACGTGAACTCATGTAAAATTTCTTATAATAAGCTGATTTTGAGCCTGAAGTCAGTATTATAGAATAAGGCTTCATTTTGGACGGCTTTCTTACTGCTTCTGAAAGCATCTTTCTAATATAAAAATTTATTTGTTGTACTAAAAAGCAGCTTTAAGAAGCAGTAAGAAAACCATCCCAAACGAAGTCTTCATGTTCTTAACATACAGTTGATAGTTAAGACTTCGTTTGGGGCAGCTTTAGCCCATTATTTTTTTCCCGCTTTCAATAAATTTTTGAACTCGAAAGTTACTTCAGAAAGCAGTAAGAAGGTTGTCACATATTAAGCCTAAATCTTAGAGAAAAGGTAAGGAAATTTTAATTAAGAGCTGCTTTGTAACATACTACTTTTCATATTATTATTTCACTACTGAATATTATCAAAGATTTGGCTATAACTTTCTTACTATTTCTTGAAAATCTTTATGGTAAGAATGAACTTTTCACAACCAAATTTGCTTGAATATTTTATGGTGCAGATTGTTCTCCTACTTATTTTCGCAACTAATTTTTATAAACAAACTGCAATCGAAATTGCTGGGAATGATTTGCAGGTACAGTAGAGAAATACCAGATGCATATGAGAGACTGCTCTTAGATGCCATTGAAGGTGAGCGTAGGCTTTTCATTAGGAGTGATGAACTTGATGCAGCCTGGGCTCTCTTCACTCCAGTACTTAAGGAATTAGAAGAAAAACATGTTTTTCCTGAGCTCTATCCCTTTGGAAGCAGAGGCCCAGTTGGAGCACATTATCTTGCAGCTAAGTATAATGTCAGGTGGGGTGATCTTTCCAATGATGATTCTTAAGAGTTTCTTTTTAACTGTCTGAAAAATTAGTTGTTGTGAAGTTTTTGTGGGAAATTAGGAGTTCGTTTTTGAAAGTTGTTGCGGATATTATTGAATTTTTTTCTTTCGGGTTGTAAAAAGTTATTTTTATTGTTTTAATTTTAAGAAAATAACAAGAAAGCTTTTAGATAGATGAAGAGCATGGTTTTGAAAGTTTTTTATTTACAAGAGCCACACAAGGTTTCCTTTCACCACGCACGCTAGAGAAAAATGTGCAGGTTGGCTTTCCAGTGCACCAGGAGCGCTGAAAACAGGATTCTAGAGTTTTTGAGTTTAGTGACATTTATACCTTAGCATGAGGACGACGACAATGATGTTGATTTGATGGTGGGGACAAAAAGTACACATGAAATTTTTTTTGTTTTGAATCTCTCTCTTTTTTTGTTTCTCTTTTATTTTTAATAAATAATATTAGTATTAAAATAACAATGATGATAGTAGCAATAATAAAGATAAGGGGACTGATTTGGTTTGAGGAACTCCACCAATCTTAGGCGCGAGGCAGGGCATGGAGCAGGACTTGGAGAGGTGGAGGCTTCATTGAATTGCGACGGTAAGGTGTAAGGAAGACCGTTCGGCGGGATCTGTCGATTGACGGGCTGGCGGCGTCGAATAGATAGCCTGTGGAGTTCGGGAGGTTGGACTGAGGAGTAGAAGTCGGATTCAGTTGTCGATCGGAGCTTGGTTGGATTGGAGGAAGATAGGTTGGTTCGCGGCCTGAAGAGTTTGGATCCGGTGGAGGAGGAGGGCCGCCGGATCTGGACGTCGGCTTCAGTCGCCGGGAAATTGGGTGGCAGGTTGAAGTGGGGTGGATCGGTACAGAACGGGCGTCGGCGGGGATTGAGTGGCGACTCGGAGTGATTGCAGACGGAGGAGATGTTTCGGCAGAGGTAGCGGCCGGTAGTGAGATTGCATGTGCGGCTAAGGCTTCGCCGCGGGAGACCGGCGACTGTGAATGTTCAAACGCGGCCAGGATTTCTGAGAGGAGACGCGGCCAGGATTTCGGGGATTAGGTTAGGGCCTGCGCTGGATGTCATTGATTGACTAGATTTTGATTTTTTTTAATTAATTTTAATTTTTTATTTCAGATAATAGTAATAATATCGTTATTATTATTATATAACAGGAATTAAAAAAAAAAATTGGACATTTAGGTGATTTAAGATAAATTCATACACACAACACATACATAAATACTCGAACTCAAAACTTCTTAATTGGAAGCATAAGCTCTCAGCCAACAGGCCAATATGAGCTGAGTGGAATTAAAATACCCACTATCTTGATTTGTGCAAAGGGACCTTGATTTTCATGCATTTTCTAGAAATTTACACTTTTGCCTTAGGACGCCAGCAAATTTTCTCGCACGATCTTTCGTTGAGTTGATCTATAGTTTTTTTTTTTATTATTGTTGATGTTCCGAACGCAACGTCGAATCCCGTTTTGAGATCAAACGTAATTTTGGCGCCATCACATGTTAATTTTGGATGACGATCACCAATTTCGACCGTTTTTGTCCGATTTGAATGTGAGGGGCTCCCTCTTAGGCAAATTCAGTGCTCTGATCGCAACGACATAATCCGTTTGGCAATCGAAGATCATTTGACCTTTCAAATAACGTGTCGCGCCGATGCGTGTCACTAGAATCGTCGGATTTCCATCTTTTTGCACACTTTTTGGTGTACGGGTCAACATTAATCAACTGTTTGGATTAGATTTTTTATTGAATTTATGTAACTTTGATTGCGTTGGCTCAAATTATCAATTTATATTCGATTTTAAACTACCCCTTATTTTCATAACAACTTCGGAATCAACACAAAAAATTCAAGAACTTTTTTAGCATTTCAATGATGCCAAAGTCATGCATTACGAAAAAGAATGGAAATGCTCTACTCAAAGTATTGAAATAAATTCAGAATTTCTGAAATCAAAATTTTCCTTCTCATCAACCGAAAATTGCAGTTTAGGTTTCCATTAGACCATCTCCAACCGTTCGGCAAACAACCAAATGGAGGCCCTCAAACGTAGCAATCGAACGCCATTTATTCCGCCATTTGATCGCAGTTGAACAGTGCGACTGTTCACTTGCGCAATTATTTTCTCTCTACCGAACTTGCATAAGAATGACGCGAAAGAAACGAGCGATGGTTAGGGGGCAAAATAGCGTTCCATTGGAGATGAATCACGACACTTTTTGGTTTTACTGCATTTTGCAGTGAAAAATGAGAGTTTCTGTTGGAGATGCCCTAAAAAAGTTTCTTACTATTTTTAAAGCAGTTTTGTAATAAAATGTTTCCTAAACTAATGAATTTTGCACCATAAAATTGATTTAAAAAATAGTAAAAAAATTGTCCCAAACGAAATCTTAATATATCAAAATTAGCAAATGTGAATACCATATTAGTTGTGATGCGGACCGTTGCCCACGCTGCCACTGGGCTACAACCGTGGCCACTACCTTACCTTTACTTACTTTTTACACGTTTAGCACCTTTTTATCTTTTTGTTAGTTACGGGTGCAGGGACCTGGCATATATAGCTGTAAAAGGTCTTGTTAGGAGGTATCCAAAAATATACTAAAGTTCTTCTTCCCCAAACTACTGTTCCATTGCTTGGTTTCTTGTTTCTGCAGGTGTTCCCGTCGGCGGCTGATCCCAGGCGTTTCCTCCTCGTACGCACGGGTGAGTCCATCATTTAGTATCAGAGCTAGCATCGGAGTGATGGCTGCAAAGACGTCCCGAAAAGCTTCTGATGACTATCGGAGCTTGGAAGCTGTGTGGGCGGCGCAAGCCGGCTTCACGCAGCAACTTACGGAGCTACGGGCAGACTTCGTCCGTCTCTCTATGGAGCTGCGCAACGACATTTTGGATCTCAAGGCGGCAGTTCGAATGTCTCAACCGGTACCAGCAAACGTTCAAGCACCTCGGCCGCCAATGGAATAGGCGAGAGCTTCGATGGGCCCAATGGGGACACATCGATTAGCTAGAACGACATTTACCGAATTCACCGATTCTGAAGAGGAAATAGACCCGCGCCTGCGACAGGACACGGTCGGATCAGGAGACGAAGAACCGCATAGATACTACGACCGTCCCCGTTACCGTGGGCAACACCATAGTAACCCCGGTGAATTCCGCATCAAGCTAGACATTCCCTTCTTTGAGGGGAGGTTACACATTGAGGATTACTTGGATTGGGAGCGGGCAGTCAAGTCCTTTTTTGACTATATGGACATTGCCCAAGACAAGCAAGTCAAGTGTGTAGCCTGTCGTCTGAAAGGCGGGGCTAGTGCGTGGTGGCAACAGCTGCTGCAGACGCGTCTGCGGGAAGGTCGCGGTCCAGTTCGCAGTTGGTCACGAATGAAGCAGCTTCTTCGAAACCATTTCTTGCCCACGGACTATGAACATACCTTATACCTTTAATACCAACAATATACTCAAGGCCACCGGTCCGTGAGCGAGTACACTAAAGAATTCTATCGTCTTAGCGCCCGCAACAACCTCCGAGAATCCGAAACTCAGCTTGTCGCTCGATACACTGGAGGTCTCCGTGAGTCAATACAGGACAAGATAGAACTTAATTCTGTGTGGACCTTGAGCCAGGCCATGAATTTTGCCTTGAAGGATGAATCACAATTGTCATGGCATTCTCGCAATCAGTTGACCAGAAGGAACTACGGGGAGTCTCACGCTGAAGCTTCCAAGGGCCCCCCTTCAAGTGCTCGAACGCCTCAGGCGTCACAATCCTCGCCCAGCATATCCACTCCTCCAAGGCCTGGAATTGCTGCCGAGTCTCGAACTCAAGCCAGAGCGCCTTTGCCCGCACGAGAGAATCCTTATGGCAGGCCGAACACATTGAAGTGTTTCAGGTGCTTTCAGCCGGAGCACAAGTCCAACGAGTGTCCGAGCCGGCAACAGATACAACTCATGGACGGAGAGCATCCACTGACTGAAGGCGATTCTGCCGCGGGAGAACCTGATTCCGAGGATGGCTTTGAGGATGTTCATGGTGACAGCGACGATCCAGTAGTTTGTGTAACATCAAAATCTGCTCCAGGATCGTCCGGGCCGATCTGGATCATCCCGGGACGATCAGTGCAATTTTTGTTCCAGTTTTCTGTCCTGAAGTTACAGGAAAATTTACTGTATGGATCGTCCAGGCCGATCTGGGATCGTCCTGGGACGATTAGTGTATGACAAAAGTCAGAGAGCAAATCGTCCTGGAAATTAATTATCGTCCTGAGAAATCATCCCAGGCCGATTGGATTTTGTTCAGATCGTCCAGGACGATCGTGCGATCGGCTGGGCCGATCTGTGTATTTTAAAGCTGAAATCAGTCGTTTTGAAGAGAGAGAAAATCATAAAATATCTCAAAATTCAGCTGAGGAGAGAGAAAGTCGAGAGAAAATTTGGAAAAGCTGATTTTCGGGCGACGCCGGGCCGTTTTCGTCCGACAAGACTGTTCAAGAAAGTGTTGTACGCAAGGTAAGGCACATTCCGCCTTTCTCAATTTTCAGAACGGTGCAATTTGAACGACTTTTCTGTCCGGATTTTATTTTTGTTAGCGAATTTCGTCCGTATTTTTCGATTGGTTCAATTTTTACCGCGTAACTTTTGGTATGTTTCTGAGGTGCCGAGTGTGCACATTTTGATTATTTTCTGTTCCGGATCCGATGATAAGTTCTGTTCTGGTGCTATAAGCACATCTGTTCTGGTGCCATGAGCACAAAGGGAGGCATAATGGGCTAGAATCCGAGAGATTCTGTCAGTGTATGGGAAGGGAGGCATAAGGGGCCAGAATCCGTTGAGATTCTGTCAGTGTCAGGGAATCTGTTCTGCCTTCTGATATGTTCTGAATTGATATGATTTCTGATTTCTGATTTGTATTCTGATTCTGATTCTGATTCTGATTCTGTCTGTTCTGATATGATTTGACTCTGATTTCCGTACGATTCTGTCTGTTCTGATATGACTTCTGATCTGATACGATTTTAATCTGATTTCTGTACGTTCTGTCAGCTCTGATGTGATGTATTTCTGCTCTATTCTGATTTGATCTGATTTGTACGATTCTGATTCTGTTCTGATTTGATATACGATTATGTTCCGATTTCTGTACGGATTTCTGTCTGATGTGTTTGATGTGGACTATGAGAATTTTGATTGGAGGTTTGATGTCTTGCTGAGCTGTTGTAGCTCATCCTTGTTTTCTGCGTGGTTTTCAGGTTCTGGGAAAGGGAAGGAAGTCCAGGAGTAGAAGTTCAGAGTCTGATCTGTGATAGGTATTTTGTCCTTTTGATTTTTGTACAGTCATGGCTTTTCTGTTCTGCTTTTCTTTCTGTCTGAAAGCCATGACCTGTATTTGTATATGATTCTTTTGAGGAAGAAAAATATAGATGATCTGTTCCGCTGCATTTGATGTTTATAGTAGCTCTGTGTGTCTGTTTCTGTGTGTAATGTTTGGAAGAAAATTCTGAAACAAATTCCAAAGCCAGATCCTGGAATCAGTTCAGTCAGTTTGAATGTTCAGGCACTCATGACCCGATGCGAGCGGGACCCGTCCCGGTCGGGTTGGGTTGTGACAGTTTGTGTCATTCAAAAATTGCTATTAGCGCCACGAGGTCCTACTCATTCCCAAAGGAATGCCCTGTTCAAAATGCACTGCACCATTCAAGGAAAAGTCTGTGAAGTCTTGGTTGACAGTGGATGTACCGAGAATGTGATCTCCCGCACGGTAGTTTAAGCCCTCCAATTGAAGACCACTGCTAACCCATACCCCTACAAGGTAAGCTAGATCAGGAAGGGGACGGAAGTGACCGTGATCGAGATGTGCCGTGTGAGCCTGTCGATCGGAAAACACTACACCTGTGAGGTACTCTGTGACGTGATCGACATGGATATCTGCCACCTTATTTTGGGAAGGCCATGGCAGTATGAAATGGACGCTGTCTACAATTGCCGGCAGAACGTTTATACACTTGACTGGAAGGGGAAGAAACTTCGGCTCTGCCCACAGTACTCAACTACAACCGGTGCAACCTCTGCGCCCAATGCGGTCAATGTGGCCTATGGTAAGCTGTTACTACAATCCAGACAAGATCTTGACTCTATCATGGCTCTAGTGGTTTCCGACAGCCATAGTGGCTCTGCCCCTGCTCCGCCTCGGCTGAGATTCAAGAATTACTGTCCAAGTTCGCTGACGTCCTGCCTCCCGACCTGCCCCCAGATCTCTCGCCCCTGCGGTCAATTCAGCATCAGATTGAGTTTGTTCCCGGCGCCACCTTGCCCAATCTACCACACTACCGCATGACTCCCAAAGAGTACTCCATCCTGCAGGATATCATCGAAGATCTTCTTAGCAAGCAGATGATCCAACACAGCCTGAGCCCCTGTGCTGTGCCAGTGCTAATGATACCGAAGAAGGATGGTCAATGGCGTATGTGCGTCGATAGCCGCGCCATTAACAAAATCACTGTGAAGTACCGATTCCCGGTTCCCAGGGTCTCGGATTTGCTAGACCGGCTGGCGGGCGCGGCAGTCTTCTCCAAATTGGACCTCCGTAGTGGCTACCATCAGATCCGCATTCGTCCCGGAGACGAATGGAAGACCGCCTTCAAAACGTGCGACGGACTCTACGAATGGAAGGTAATGCACTTCCGGCTTTGTAACGCACCTTCCACTTTCATGCGCCTAATGCAAGAGGTGCTGCAACCGTTCTTGGGAAGAACTTGCGTAGCTTATTTCGATGATATACTCGTCTATAGCACTAACCTTTCAGATCATGTGAAGCACCTGTCGGACATCTTGCAACTGTTACAGCGCCACCAGCTCTACCTGAATCCGCACAAGTGTGAGTTCGCTTCCCCCAGCATCCATTTTCTAGGATTCATTCTGTCTGCCAATGGTGTGGAAGTCGATCCACGGAAGGTCCAGGCGATTCGTGAATGGCCCACTCCTCAAACACTGTTTGATGTCTGAAGCTTCCACGATCTCGCAAACTTCTATCGCCGATTCATCCGAGGATTCAGCATCCTCGTGGCGCCCGTCACTGATTGTTTGAAGGCTGGCAGCTTCACGTGGACCTCCGCACAGCAGCACAGCTTCGACCCCATCAAGGAAGCATTGTGTTCCGCCCCGGTCCTGACCTTACCCAACTTCGAGAAGCCCTTCATGTGGACACAGACGCCTCGTTTATAGGAATTGGGGTCGTGCTGTCGCAAGACTCCCGATCGATTGAGTTCTTTAGCGAGAAGCTCAGTCCGGCGCGACATAAGTGGTCAACTTACGAACAGGAGCTGTACGCCGTCGTAAGAGCTTTGAAACAATGGGAGCACTACCTTCTTCATCAAGATTTCGTCTTGTGCAGCAATAATCAAGCCCTTCAATATATTAATAATAAAAAGAACATCAGCCGTATGCACGCCCGCTGGATTGTCTTCCTCCAGAAGTTTACATTCGTGCTACAACACAAGGCGGGCAAGCTCAATCGAGTGGTTGACGCACTTAGCCGGAGGGCTGCTATGTTGGTCAGGTTACAAACCGAGATCACCGGACTCGAGGAGTTGAAGACTCTATACACCGCGGATGAGGATTTTGCACAATTCTGGGCGCAATGCCAGTCCGGGCAGCCCCCAGGTGACTATAGTCTCCGCCACGGATTCCTGTTTAAAGCCAACTGTCTCTGTATACCTCAGTCATCCTGGCGCCCTTTCCTAATTAAGGAAGTCCACTGCGGCAACTTGGCTGCCCATGTCGAAAGGGATAGAACTCTGGCCCAGCTTCAGGCGAGGTTCTTTTGGCCGCACCTATCTCGCGATGTATCCCGATTTGTGGAGCGATGCTCGGTTTGCCAAACCTACAAGGGGACCGCACAGAACACCAGCCTATACCTACCCCTTCCAACACCGGACTCAATCTGGGAGGATCTTAGTCTTGATTTTGTCCTAGGCCTCCCGCGAACCAAGACTGGCGCCGATTCAATCATGGTAGTGGTGGACATATTCTCTAAGATGGCGCATTTTATCCCCTGCAAGAAGACCTTCGACGCCGTTCATGTAGCCAAACTCTTCTTCAAGGAGATCATCCACCTCCACGGGGTACCCCGGAGTCTAACGTCTGATCGCGACATTAAATTCGTCAGCCACTTTTGGCATGACTTGTGGAAGCGTCTTCATACGGAGCTCAATCTTAGCTCCGCCTACCACCCACAAACTGATGGCCAGATAGAAGTGGTGAACCGAACCCTCGGCAATATGCTACGTTGCCTAGTTCAGGACCACCCAAAGAAGTGGGAGGAGATGCTAAGCCAAGCTGAATTCGCTTTTAACTCAATGCCAAACCGATCCACTGGCCACTGCCCATTCAGCATTGTGTATACCAAAATGCCAAATCAGGTAGTCGATGTTGCTATACTACCAAAATGCCTTAGCACTGCTGCTACCCAAGCCGCCGAACAGTTCAAAGACATCGTGGATTGGGTGCATAGCAAATTAACTGAGTCTAACCGCCTGTACAAGCAGCAAGTTGACTCTCACAGGCGTTTCAAAAGCTTCAACCCAGGCGACCTGGTGATGCTGCGACTCATATGAGAGTGCTACCCTATCGGTACCTACACCAAGCTCAGTCCCAGGAAGATCGGGCCCTTCCCTGTTCTGCGGAAAATAAATGACAATGCTTATGTCATTGATCTGTCGGTGGACATTCAGACATCTTCTACCTTTAATGTGTCGGACATACATTCGTACCACCCTCCCGACGACGCCGACACCGCTTTAACCTCGCCAGAGACGAGTTCTTCTGAAGGCGGGGAGACCTGATGCGGACCGTTGACCCCTCCGCAAGCCCACGCTGCCACTGGGCTGCCACCGTGGCCACTACCTTACATATACTTACTTTTTACACGTTTAGCATCCTTTATTTCTTTTTGTTAGTTACGGGTGCAGGGACCTGGCATATATAGCTGTAAAAGGTCTTGTTAGGAGGTATCAAAAAATATACTAAAGCTCTTCTTCCCCAAATTACTGTTCCATTGCTTGGTTTCTTGTTTCTGCAGGTGTTCCCGTCGGCGGCTGATCCCAGGCGTTTCCTCCTCGTAAGCACGGGTGAGTCCGTCAAGCTGTAGATAACTTCTTTATCTTTCCTACATTTTATAATTTGATTTAAATTAAGGCACTTAAAGAATCCACTTATTATAATTTTTTTTAATTTTTTTTAATCCACTCATGATAGAGCATAGTGTAACTCATAAAATTTCTTTTTTTTTTTTTTTTTTTTTTTTTTTTTTTTTTGAAGAAAAAATCAAAGTAGTATCTATAAAAGATGTATGGGTCGGATCGAGCATACGCACAAAAAAGGGTTTGATTAGCAAATATTAAAAAATATGTATTTTTTATTAAATTTAAGTGAAATTTGATTATTAACAGGATACAATTAAGAAAAAAAAATATACATGCAGCCGACCTCACATAATGTGATAAAGATTTGTTATTGCTGCTGCAAAAGAGTAAAATTTTTAATTTACTAAAACAATCAAACAATCATAAAAAATAATATTGTTTTAGAATTTTAAATAAATTTACTCACACACAAAACTTTGAATATTTCAAATCTCAATCAATTGAAAAAAATATAATTTTTAGTAACACTAACAGACAACCTCCCCTCTTTAATGAAAGCATTAGCCTGCATTTTCCACAGCCATGAATTTCTTTATTTGTCTTCTTCATTAGTGGACAATGGGCTAAGATAAATTATTTGTGCATTCTTCCATGCATGAACCTATTAGTCATATGCTGTAGACCTTATAAAATTTAACAATATTCTAATATCAATTAGTTTTCACATGTAAAATAAACTATTTTTCATAAAGATATTTTTTTATTAATTTCAAAAAGATATTTTTTTTATTAATTTCAAAAATATATTTTTTTAATTAATTTCAAAAAGATATTTTTCCTATGTGAATAGAAGATATTTCCTTAAGAAAATAAGTTGTTATTAAAGAGGATGTTAATTGGTTTGATAAAGATGGTGGTGGCATTCAAGAACAAGTTGTCATGAAAGACAAGGAAAAATAAGTGAGAAAACACTAAGGTTTTGTTTGGGACTGTTTTCTTGATGCTTCTCGAAGCAGTTTTTTAATGCAAAAATAAAAATTTTGTACTTAAAAGCTATTTTAAGAAGTAGTAAGAAAGACGTCCCATTGAGATAGTTTTTTCGTTATTTTTTAAAGAAAATTTCATGTACTTGAAAAAATTAGTTTAGAAAGCAGCAAGAAAGTCATCCCAAATAAAACTTAAGGCTTGATTTGAAATTGCTTTTTACTATTTTTTAAAACAATCTTTTAGTAAAATAATTAAAAATTTATGTTAAAATTTTATTTTAAAAAATAATAAAAAAATTGTCCTAAGCAAATCTTATATTTTATATATTTTTCATAATTTCATCCAATTTTGGAGTACTTCTTAA